TGGCACTATTTCTGTTACAGAAATTGAATTTGTAGTTAAAAACTTTTCCACAAAGAAAATTCCAGGCCTAGATGCCTTCACTGGTGTTTCAGATATTTAAGGAAAAAATATTACAAATTCTATATAGACTCTTCCAGAAAATTTAACAGAAAAGGTTATCTCCTAACTCATTCTATAAAGGCAAACATTTCTGATCCAAAACCAAGCAAAGACACTGAGATAAAAGAAAACTGTGCAGCAGCATCCCACATGAAAATAAATGTAAAACATTTTAAGTAAAATTGTAGGACAGAAATCTAACAATATGTAAAAAGAGTAACTCATGACTAAGTGGGGTTAATTCTAGGAATGCAGAGTTGGCTTAAATTTCAAAAATCAGTAGAATTTACCACATGCATGTATGCTAAATCAAAAAAGCTATTATCTCAACAGATGCAGAAAAAGCATTTCACAAAATTAAATGTCTATTTTAAATAAAAACTCTCACCAAACTATAAATAGGTGAGAACTTTCTAAATCCTAAACTCTAAAAGACATTTATTAATAGTCTACAAATAACATCCTACTTAACGGTGAAAGACTAAATGCTTTCCCCTTAAGGTCAGGAACAAGACAAGGATATCTGCTCTTGCGACTTTTATTCAGTATTGTATTACCAATGCAAATGGCCAGAAGAAGAAATAAAAGGATCTAGGTTGAAAGATTAGAACAGTCCCCAAGGAAAATGTATACAGGGCAAGTAAGTACATGAATAGAGATGCTCAATACCATTATTTCATTAGGGAAATACAAATTAGAAGTGATTAACAAGCTATCAATACACATTTATTTACATGGCTCTGATTTTCAAAAGGCTGACCATATTAAGTAGTGGCAAGGATGTAGAACAAATGGAACTTTGATACGCTGCTGGTGAAAATGCAAAGTGGTTCAACTACTTTGAAAAATAGGCAGAAGAACTTTAACATACTACTGAGCAAAAGAAAGCACCATATAAACTAGGAATTGAGTAATACGTTCTTTGCTTGAAAAAAAAAATTTATGCCTCAGTACTAAAATCAGCATTTTACTCAGGGTTTTAAAATAATTCAATAGAAGATACAATGGAACAGAAACTGCCATTTACAATAGCAGACAAAGGGTGGGTGGGGTAGGGGGAGGAACTAAAAAATATGCAAAATTTATATAAAGAAAACTTTAGAAGAAGCCTGACCAAAATTTTGATTCATTAAAAAAAATGAGTGGACTTGTCAAAATTAGGAGCTTCTGCTCTTCAAAAGACACTGGTATGAGAATGAAAATACAGGCCACAGACTATGAGAAAATAGTTTTACATTGCTTAATTTAATGATAGGGATGTCTTCTGAAAAATGAATTGTTAAGCAATTTCACTGTTGTGCAAACATAGCATATACTTGTACAATCCTGTATAGTATAGGCTAGTACACACCGAGGCCTGTATCCTATTGCGCGTAGGCTACAAAACTGTCCAACATGTTACTATACTGAATACTGTAGGTAGTTGTAACACAGCGGTATTTGTGTATATAAACATATCTAAAAATAGAAAAGGTACAATAAAAAATACGTTATGAAAGTTGTATTAAAACTTGTACACCCGTATCAGGAGCACTTACCATGAATGGAGCTTAGAGGACTGGAAATGGCTCTGGGTGAGTCAGTGAGTAAGTGGTTAATGAACATGAAGGCCTAGAACACTACTGTGTACCACTGTCAATGTTATAAACACTGTACACTCAGGCTACACCGAATTTATTTAATTTTTTTTCTTTCTTCAATAAGGAGTTAACCTTAGCTTACTGTAGCTTTTTCACTTAATAAAGTTAAAAATTTTTTAACTTTTTGACTCTTTCACAGTACTACTTAGCTTAAAACACATTGTACAGCTGTATAAAAACAATTTTTAATTTTTTTGTTTACTTTGTAAACTCTTTTATTAAAAAACTAAGACAAACACATACATTACCCTAGGCCTGCACAGACTCAGGATCATCAATATCACTGTCTTCCACTTCTACTTCTGAGCCTACTGGAAGATCTTCATGGGCGGGCAGTTACATGCGTGGATGGAGCTGTAATCTATAACAATGCCTTCTTCTGGAATACCTCCTGAAGGAGCTTGTCTGAAGCTGTTTTTTAGTTAACTTTTATTTTCCTATAAGTAGAAAGAATAAACCCTAAAATAATGATTAAAAATATATAGTAAACACACAAACCAGTAATATAGTCATTTGTTATCAAATATGTACTGTACATAATTGTATGTGCTATACTTTTATACAGCTGGCAGTGTAGTAGTTTTTGCACCAGCATAACCACAAATGTGAGTAATGTGTTGTTCTAGGACCTTAAGACAGCTGTGATATCACTAGGATATAGGAATTTTTTTTAGCTCCATTTTAATCTTATGGGACCACAATCTATACACAGTCTGTTTTTGACCAGGCTTCATTATGTGGAACATGACTGTACTTGCAAATCACATAATGGACAGCATTATTTTCCAAATTGATCTGTAGATCCAACACAATCTCTGTCAAATTTCCAGCTGCCTTTTTTGCAGAAATTGACAAATTGGTGCTAAAATTCTTACAAGGGACCCAGAGTAGCCGTAGCAATCTTGAAAAGAGAACAAAGGTGGAGGATTCATATTTTCTGATTTCAAAACTTACTGTAAATCTACGGTACTTAAGACATCATGGTTCTGGCATGAAGATAGACATAATTCATGAATTAAAATTGAGAGTACGGAAATTGACCCACCAATTTATGGTTGATTGATTTTTGACAAGGCTATTAAGACAGTTCAATGAGATTTTCAACTTGTGCAGGAACAGCTGGATATCCACATTTAAAAAGTGAAGTTGGAACCTCTATACCATATACAAAAATTAATTTCAAGTGGATCATGGACCTAAATGTAAGAGTTAAAACTACAAAACTCTTTGAAGAAAACGTAGGAGGAAATCTTCATGACCTTGGATTAGATAATATAACACCAAAATAGATAACAGTAGAAAAAATAGATAACTTGAACTTCATCAAAATTAAAAGTTTTTCATTTCCATATCATCAAGAAAATGAAAAGACAAGCCACACAATGGGAGAAAATATTTGCAAATTATATATTTGATAAAGGACTTGTATCCAGAATATAGTAAGAACTCTTAAAATTCAGAAATTAAAAGACAACATGATTTTAAAATGGACGAAGTATTTGAATAGATAGTTCTCCACATATATTCAAATGACCAGTTAGGCACATAAAAGTTACTCAGTGGTCATTAGAGAAATGCTAATCAAAACTGCAATGAGATACATGTCACATTGACTAGATGACTCTAACATCAAAAAGAGAATGGCAAGTGTTGGTGAGGAAATAGAAATTGGAACCCTCGTACATTGGTGGTGAAATTATGAAATCCTGTAGCTACTTTAGGAGACACTTCAGAGGTTACCCAAAATGTTAAACATAGAGTTACCACATGACCCAGCAGTTTTATTCGTAAGTATATACCTAAAAGAATAGAAAACACGTCCACAGAAAAACATACCATAAATGTTCATTACATCATTATTCATAATAGTCAAAAAGAGGAGACAACCCAAATGTCTATCAACTGATGAATAAGTAATCAAAATGTAGTATATCCATGCAGTAGAATATTATTCATGAATGAAAAGGAATGAAGTACTGATACACTGTATGACATGGGTGAACCTTGAAACCATTTTGCTAAGTGAAAGAAACTATTTACATATTGGCCACACATTATATAATTCCATGTATATGAAATGTCCAGAATAGGCAAATCCATGGAAACAAAGTAGATTAATAGTTTCTAGGAACTGGGCTGAGAGGGTAATTGGGAGTGACTCCATTGGGGTATAGGGTTCATTTTGGGGGGATTATGGAAATGTTATAAAATTAGGGTTGATGTTTACACAACTCTGAGAATATTCTAAAAACCAATGAATTATATACCTTTAAAGGGTTAATTTTCCGTTTCATGATTTAAACGTATACCTACCACGTGATCCAGCCATTTCATTCCTAGGTATTTGTGCAAGAGAAAAGAAAGTTTATTTCCCTACAAAAATTTGTGCGTAAATGTTTCCAGCAGCTTTATTTGTAATCACCAAGAACTAGAAACAAACCAGATGTCCACCAACATCATATACTACTCAGCAATAAAAGGAAATGAATTATTGATATGGATGAATATCAGAGTAGTTATGCTGAGTGAAAGAAGCTAGACAAAAAAGAAAGTACATCTTCTGTGATTCCATCTAACACTAGAAAACGCAAAGCAATCTACAGTGATAGAAAGTAGATCATTGGTTGCCTGGGTACAGGGGTCCTGGAGGGGCCAGAAGAAGAGATTACAAAAGAGCACATGAAAACTTGAGGGTAATGGCCATGTTGATTATTTTGATTGTGGTGGTGGCTTTCACAGGTTTATATGGTAGCATGGGTATGTACGTATGTCAAGACTTAATAAAGTGTATAGTAAATTGTATGTCCATTATATGAATTGATTAGTAAGTTATTGTTAAAATAAGAAAAAATTAACCCCAGTAGTCTGCATGGTAGATATACTTATCAATATACTGAAATATTCCACGAAGAGATGCTAAGAATATGATAGTTTAATAGGATATAGTGGTCCTAAAAAGAAAATGTCATACCTGGAAGGGTAGGAAGTTAGACAATTATAGAATGAGAAAACATTTAATTAACTGGCTATGTAAGACATTCTTGTCCTTTTTATTACTGATATGAGTCTATTTGATGCTTCAGTGGAAAGTAATTTTTTTCCCCTTCATCTTACCTTTCATTGTTTCTTTTGCATGAAACCTTTCTTAATTATTAGGGAATAATTCAGAGTAATTGTCAGCTATAACCAATTCTAATCCAAAACATGAATTTTGGGGTTTTACTCTTAATCTGTCTAAATCCTATGCCTTGTTTTTCTCAGTCCTACACACCTCCAAGCAACGAGTTCAAGATCAGCATGAAATTGGAAGCACAGGACCCCAGGAATACCACATCCACCTGTATTGCCACAGTAGTTGGACTGACAGGGGCCCGCCTTCGCCTGCGCCTTGACGGCAGCGACAACAAAAATGACTTCTGGCGGCTAGTTGACTCAGCTGAAATCCAGCCTATTGGGAACTGTGAAAAGAATGGGGGTATGCTACAGCCACCTCTGGGTGAGTAAGTAAACCCAACCTCTTTCTAGCCAATTGTTAATAGTTAGCTTCCAAAAACTGAATATCCTACTATGGGAAAGATTAGTGTTCCCTGCTTATCCCTTATTTTTCTTTATTTTCTTTTTTTTAATTTTACTTTAAGTTCTGGAGTACATATGCAGATCTTGCAGGATTGTTACATAGGTATACACAAGCCATGATGGTTTGCTGCCTCCATCCCCCTGTCACCTACATTAGGTATTTCTCCTAATGCTATCCCTCCCCAATCTCCCCATCCGCTGCTATCCTAGCCCCCCTGCCACCCAACAGACCCCACTGTGTGATGTTCCCTCCCTGTGTCCATGTGTTCTCATTGTTCAGCACCCACTTATGAATGAGAACATGAGGTGTTTGGTTTTCTGTTCTTGTGTCAGTTTGCCGAGAATGATGGTTTCCAGCTTCATCCATGTCCCTGCAAAAGACATGAACCCATCATTTTTTATGGCTGCATAGTATTCTATGGTGTATATGTGCCACATTTTCTTTATCCAGTCTATCATTGCTGGGCATTTGGGTTGGTTCCAAGTCTTTGCTATTGTGAACAGGGCTGCAAGGAACATTCGTGTGCATATGTCTTTATAATAGAATGATTTATAATTCTTTGGGCATATACCCAGTAATGGGATTGCTGGGTCAAATGGAATTTCTGTTTCTAGGTCCTTGAGGAATCACCACACTGTCTTCCACAATGGTTGAACTAATTCACACTCCCACCAACAGTGTAAAAGTGTTCCTATTTCTCCACATCCTCTACAGCATTTGTCTCCAGAATTTTTAATGATCGCCATTCTAACTGGCATGAGATGGTATCAGTGTGGTTTTGATTTGCATTTCTCTAATGACAAGTGATGATGAGCATTTTTTTCAGGTTTGTTGGCTGCATAAATGTCTTCTTTTGAAAAGTGTCTGTTCATATCCTTTGCCTACTCTTTGATGTTTTTTTTTTTTTCTTATATACTTGTTTTACTTCTTTGTAGATTCTGGATATTAGCCTTTTGTCAGATGGGTAGATTGCAAAAATTTTTTCCCATTCTGTTGGTTGCTGGTTCACTCTAATGATTGTTTTTCTTGCTGTGCAGAAGCTCTTAAGTTTAATTAGATCCCATTTGTCTATTTTGGCTTTTGTTGCCATTGCTTTTGGTGTTTTAGTCATGAAGTCCTCACCTATTCCTATGTCCTGAATCATTTTGCCTAGATTTCTTCTAGGGTTTTTAATGGTATTAGGTCTTATGTTTAAATCTTTAATCCACCTGGAGTTAATTTTTGTATAAGGTGTCAGGAAGCGGTCCAGTTTCAGCTTTCTGCACATGGCTAACCAGTTTTCCTAACACTATTTATTAAACAGGGAATCCTTTCCCCATTGCTTTTTTTTTGTCGGGTTTGTCAAAGATCAGATGGTCGTAGGTGTAAGGCGTCATTTCCGAGGCCTCTGTTCTGTTCCATTTGTCTACATCTCTGTTTTGGTACCAGTCCCATGTTGTTTTGATACTGTAGCCTTGTAATATAGTTTGAAGTCAAGTAGCATGATGCATGTTGGCTGAATATGAAATTCTGGTTTGAAAGTTCTTTTCTTTAAGGGTGTTGAATATTGGCCTCCAGGCTCTTCTGGCTTGTGAGGTGTCTGCCGAGAGATCCACTGTGAGTCTGATGGGCTTCCCTTTGTGGGTAACCCAACCTTTCTCTCTGGCTGCCCTTAGCATTTTTCTTCATTTTAACCCTGGTGAATCTAACGATTATGTTCCTTGGGGTTGCTTTTCTTGAGTAATACCTTTGTGGTGGTCTCTGTATTTCCTGGATTTGAATGTTGGCCTGCCTTGCTAAGTTGGGAAGGGTCTCCTGGATAATATCCTGAAGAGTGTTTTCCAGCTTGGATTTATTCTCTCTGTCACATTCAGGTACACCGATCAAACATAAATTAGGTCTTTTCAGATAATCCTATATTTCTTGGAGGCTTTGTTCATTTCTTTTCACTTTTTTTTCTCTAATCTTGCCTTCTCGTTTTACTTCATTGAGTTGATCTTTAATCTCTAATATCCTTTCTTCTGCCTGGTTGATTCAGCTATTGAAACTTGTATAAGGTTTGCGAAGTTCTTTTGCTGTGTTTTTCAGCTCCATCAAGTCATTTATGTTCTTCTCTAAGTTGGTTTTTCTCGTTAGCATTTTGTCTAATCTTTTTACAGTGTTCTTAGTTTCTTTGCATTGGGTTAGAACATGTTCCTCTAACTCAGAGAAGTTTGTTATTACCCACCTTCTGAAGCCCACTTCTGTGAGTTCATCAAAGTCATTCTCCATCCAATTTTGTTCCCTTGCTGGTGAGGAGTTGTAATCCCTTGGAGGAGAGGTGTTCTGGTTTTTGGTGATTTCATCCTTTTTGCATTGGTTTCTTCCTATCTTCATGGATTTATCTACCTTTGGTCTTCGAAGTTGATGACTTTTGGATGGTGTCTGTGAGTGGATGTCCTTTCTGTTTATGTTGAAGCTATTTATTTCTGTTTTTTAGTTTTCCTTCTAATAGGCCTCTCTGCTGCAGGACTGCTGGAGGTCCACTTCAGACCCTGCTTGCCTGGGAATCACCTACAGGGTCTGCAGAACAGCAAGGATTGCTGCCTGTTCCTTCATCTGGCAGCTTCATCCCAGAAGGGTACCCACCAGATGTCAGCCAGAGCTCTTTTGTATGAGGTGTCTCTTTGGATATACGGGGTTCAGGGAGTTGCTTGAGGAGGCAGTCTGTCCCTTATCAGAGCTTAAGTGCTGTACTGGGAGCTCCATTGCTCCCTTCAGAGCTGCTAGGAAGGGATGTTTAAGTCTGCCATAGCAGAACTCAAAACTGCCCCTTTTCCCAGGTGCTCTGTCCCAGGAAGGTGGGGCTTTATTTATATGTCCCTGATGTGCTGCTGTCTTTTTTTCAGAAATGCCCTCCCCAGCAAGGAGGGAGTCTAGTCATATTCTGCCTGCAGAGGCATTGCTGAGCTGCTGTGGGCTCTGCCCAGCTGCTGTGTAAACTTCCTTGCGATTTTGTTTACACAGGTAAAGTTAGAAGTACATCGGTAATGGCGGACTGCCTCAGTAATGGTGGACTGCGTCTGTAATGGGGGACTGCCTCAGTAATGGCAGATGCCTTTCCCCCCACTGAGCTCAACCATCCCAGGTCAAGCTCAAACTGCTATGCTGGCTGTGAAACTCTGAAGCCAGCAGGTTTCTGTTTGCTGGTCTTTGTGTGGGTGGGACCTCCGAGCCAGATCACTTGGCTCCATGCCTTCAGCCCCCTTTTTTTTCAAGGGAATGGGCAGCTCTGTCTCACAGGTGTTCCAGACACCAGTTAAAACGGCTGCCTACATTTGTGCCAGATACCCGTGGTGCTTGTTGGCCCAGCAGGAATCTCCTGGTCTGTGGGTTGTAAAGACTATGGGAGAAGTACAGTATGTGAACCAGAGTGCCAGAGTGGCTGGAAGAGTCCCCGATGGCCTCCATTGGGTAGGAAGAAGGGTCCTCTGGCCTGTTGGACTTCCCAGGTGAGGCAGTACTCCACCTTGCCTTGGTTTGCCCTCCTTGTGCTACACCCACTGTCCAACCAGTCCCATTGAAATGAACCTGGTACCTCGGTTGGAAATGCAATGATCACTTGCCTTCTGTGTCGCTCTCTCTGGGTACTGCGCTCCAGAGCTGTTCCTATTTGGCCATCTTCCCTCTGTTACTTCCTTATTTTTCTTACAGTCTCCCAAAAGGCCCAACCAAAATGAAACAAGCTGCACAACTCGGACATGTTGGACATCTCCATCTCTACATTAGCTTATGATATCCAGCCTTCTCCCGAATTCTTCCTAAGAAACCACACCGTTTGTTCTTCTTGACCAGTGCCCATTTACCTGTGAGAGAGAATGGAAGGAGGTCTTGCCATTGAATCTATCTCAAAAAGTATAAAGCTTTCACCAAATGCTATGATAATGACAAGAAATGAGAGAAAATCTCCCAGTAGGAAACATGACTGTTATGAGGATCACTTATCTCCTTTCTCACTAATTGTCACCTGATCCTTGGAGTTTTCTCACTTTGAATGCATTATTAGATAAAATTTATTTTTTTTAATTTAATAACCCCACTAGGTCTTTCTTTCCAGATCAGATTCTTCTCCAGCTTTTGCCTCGATAAATCTGAGGGATTCAGCCCTTGTTATCAGTTACAGTGAGTCTCAATTGGGGACCAGGAGGGTTAGATAGACTTTGGCTATATTGCTCTCAGGAAGCCATGCCAGATTGAGAGTTAGAGGGCGTATATCGTTTGAAAGCGCTCCCTAGGTACTTATTTAATGTTTTCCCCCATTAAAAAAAATTTATATTGTAAAATTTCAAACATATGAAAAGGTGGAGAAAAATAGCACAGTGAATGCTCGTGAAACTTTCATTGTTGAAGTCAATCTAGTTTTGACTATATTTGTAGTATCTATATTTGTATACACTTTCTGTCCCTTTCTCCAATTGTTAAACATAGCATCATTTGATCATCAAAGTTTTTAAGTATGTTTGTCTCATGGGCAAGAATGTCTTAACCATACTGTTTATCACATATAAATAAGCCAGTGATAATTTCTTAATATAAACAAATATTTTAATATGTTTAAATTTTCCGGATTATCTGTCTCTTTCTCTCTTTTTTATCAGTTTTTTTTTGAATCAGAATCTAACTAGAATCCACACATTGCAGTTAGTTGATATGTCCTTTAAGTTTTTAAAAATCTATGAGTTCTCCTCTGTTTTCATTTTTTTTCTTGCAGTTTACTTGTTTAAAAAAACCTAAGTTGGCCAGGCGCAGTGGCTCATGCCTGTAATCTTTGGGAGGTCTACTTTGGGGGGTCCAGGGAGGCGGATCGTGAGGTCGGAAGATCGATACCATCCTTGCCAACATGGTGAAACCCCATCTCTACTAAAAACACAAAAATTAGCTCAGCATGGTGGCTTGCACCT